TTTTTTTTTACAGCTGAAAGAAATTATTTGGCAGAATCACATACCCTTGGTACACAGCAAATAGTGGCAAAGCCAGAGCAATAACCCACTTCTCCAAATTTCCAAATCTACATTAGCCCATGAGTTTTAAGTATTTAATACAACCTGCATATCTTGGCATTCATAGCCTACTTTTGGTCCAATCGTAACTGTTTCTGTCTGGCCTGTCTTACTGTGCTACTCGACAGCACTAATAAGATCATTACTTCTTTCCTACTCTTTTCATTTCATTTCCACCCCTTCCCACATTATATTGATCTTCTTGTCTCACCTCAAATTTCAGATATTCTCCTTGGATAACTCAGTGCTTTTCTAATTCCTTTGTATAGTATTTATTTCCTACTCAAGATCTTTAATTTGTTTTATATGTCTGTCCTGTCATGCCAGAAAAGATTAAATTTTTTTATTTTGATGTGACTACATTCTATTAATATGACTTTTTCCTCATTGAGTATTTATTGATTTATGAGCAAAGCATTCTCTGATTTACCCAGAATTTGAGTTTCTTTCCATATATTTCCCTGGAAAATAAGAAGAGTGATTTTATTTGTAAATATTTAAATTTTATACATCCATTTCATAGCACAGTCTGTTGAATTAAGTAAGTACATATTCAGCAGACATCTGAGATTCATAGAGTAGAATTCATCTGGTCATGAACACCTTTGTTTTACAAATAAGGAAACTGAGGCACAGAAAAAATGGATTTGGTGAAGGTGACATAGTTTATTAATAGCAAATTTAACTCTGAAAGCCACTTTGCCTGGTTTCTCAGCTAACTCTTTACAGAATATATTTACATTCATTTTGATGTTTGGGGAAATTTTCTTCTAAGCTTCTAATAATAGCCCAGTAAGTATTAAAATACAAATGAATATCATAAGAATTTTTTCACCCAGGAAGATCAATTTCCTATACTCCCATTCCTCCTCCTCCTCTTCCCTTTCTTCCTCCCCTTTTTTGATCAATGGAAAACATTAATTTAGAAATGGATATGAAAGCTGTTATAGATTCTATAGTTATTGGAAATGTGTTTATTTTATGGTTATGGAACTGTATTGTATAATTTCAGTTGAACTTTGTAGTATCACTTAATGCTGCTTAAATGACATAAACCATTTACAACTACTCTAACAAATACAGATATTTCCTCTGATCCTCTACAGGACTTAACTATTTATCTTTCATTTAGGTGTAGTGTATCCTCTAATTGTTTCATAG